GCCTGGATCCCAGCCCCAGGGTCACCAGCAGAGCCTGATCACAGGCCCCAAGGTCCACCATGCAGAGCTGGCCCAGCCCAGGGTCACTCGTACAGAGCCTGAGTCCCAGCCCCAGGTCACCATACAGAGCCTGAGTCACAGCCCCAGGTCACCATACAGACCTGGTCAGACAGCCCCAGTCAACCATACAGAGCTGAGTCACAGCCCAGGTCACCATACAGAGCCTGAGTCAAGCCCAGGTCATCCAGTCAAGCCTGAGTCACAGCCCCAGGTCACCATACAGAGCCTGAGTCCAGCCCCAGGTCACCATCATGAGCCTGAGGTCCAGCCCAGGGTCCACATGCAGAGCTGCCACAGCCCCAGGTCACCATGCAGAGCCTGAGTCCCAGCCCCAGGTCACCATGACAGAGCCTGAGTCACAGCCCCAGCTCACCATGCAGAGCCTGAGTCACAGCCCCAGGTCACCATGCAGAGCCTGAGTCACAGCCCAAGGTCACCATAGAGAGCCTGAGTCCCAGCCCCAGGTCACCATGCAGAGCCTGAGTCACAGCCCCAGGTCACCATGCAGAGCCTGAGTCACAGCCCCAGGTCACCATGCAGAGCCTGAGTCCACCAGTCCTAGCCTTCGCCCAGGTCACCATGCAGAGCCTGAGTCACAGCCCCAGGTCACCATACAGAGCCTGAGTCACAGCCCCAGGTCACCATGCAGAGCCTGAGTCCACACCCCAGGTCACCATGCAGAGCTGAGTCACAGCCCCAGGTCACCATACAGAGCCTGAGTCACAGCCCCAGGTCACCATGCAGAGCCTGAGTCACAGCCCCAGGTCAAAAAAACCCCCATACAGAGGCCTGAGTCCACCCCAGGGTCACCATACAGAGCCTGAGTCACAGCCCCAGGTCACCATGCAGATCCTGAGTCACAGCCCAGTCACCATGCAGATCTGAGGTCACAGCCCCAGGTCCCATGCAGATCCTGCAGTCCCGCCCAGTATCCATGGCAGAGCCTGAGTCCCAGCCCCAGGTCACCATGCAGAGCCTGAGTCACAGCCCAGGTCACCATGCAGAGCCTGAGTCCCAGCCCAGTCACCATGCAGAGGCCTGAGTCCAGCCCCAGGTCACCATGCAGAAGCCCGGTCACCATCCAGTGACTCTGGCTCCGTATGTCGACTTGAGGCTGCTGGGGCTGCGACTCAGGCTCTACAGAGTGACCTGGGGCTGTGACCAGGGCTGCAGTGTAGGAGCAATGGAAATGATGGCAGTGATAGCCCTTAAGCACTTATGCTAGACGACGAGAGAAAGTAGCAAGCACTGAGCAAACTAGTCTTCAAAAGTGAGAGAAAGAACCGCAAGCCCGGCTCGGAGGAAAAGGAAGGAAGACGCTAGCACGGTGCAGACGTTACGTGGCTAGAAGTAAGCACGCGGTAGCAATGACGGGTCGCTCGGAAGAGGTCTAGGAGCTGTCTGAGACGACATGGTAGGGAGAGGCTCAGTGGATTAGTCCCCGTCTGGAGGCAGCAGAGATTCCTCAGATAAAGGGGAAAGGGATGAGCAGTTTCAGGACAATATATTTGAAAATCTGGATGAAATGGACAGAGCCAGAGATGACGTAACAGAAACAGACTCAAGATATAGAAATGCTAACTCCATGGTAACCACAGAAAGTGGGGCATCGTGAAAATGTAAGGGGGTACAGCCACTTCGGGAATATTCCGACAGTTACCCCAGGGATTAAACTTAGTGAGCCAGCGATTCCACTTGCAGGTGTGTGCCCAAGAAAAGCAAAACGCACGTCTGTGCAAAGATGCGTGTGCAAATGTCCACGGGGCATTAGGCGTGAACAGCTGGGAAGCGGAAGACGGCGTGTCTCTGTGTCACGTTTCCGTAATTCTCGAAGTATTTCAGACTTTTCTGTCATCACTGTATCTGTGACGGTGATCTGTGAGCAGGGATCTTTGATGTCACCGTTGTCATTGTTCTGGGACACCAAGAACCACGCCCAGGCGAGACAGTGAGCCTTACCATAACCGTGTATGTTCTCACCGCCCCGCCGAGGGGCCAGTCCCGTGTCTGCCTCCCTCTGCCAGCCCTCCTGTGTCCCGTGGCCTCCCCAACATTGCCATTAGGCCAACTAACACCCCACGGTGGCCCCAAAGGGTTCGAGTGCGAGGGAGAGTCCCACGTGGCTCCCTTTACAGCAAAAGCCAGAAGTGATTCCGTTCCGGGAGAAGCCGCCACGGACCGACGTCGAGGCTCCTTGTGGCACCGAGTTGGCCACGCTGGGGATGCCACCGCAGAGTTCTTGAGGGAAACGAAAACGGCGCATGCACGCATGGTGAGAAAGCCAGTCCGGCTTATTGCTGATAAGGAGAAGGGTTGTGTGGTCTGGATGGACAAGACAAACCAGCCACAACAGCCCCTCGAGCCAAGGCCTGACCCGCAGCGAGGCCCTGCGTTTCTCTGCGATTCTCTGAAGGCCGAGAGAGGCGAGGGAGCTGCAGAGGAAAGGTCTGAAGCTCACAGAGGTTGCTTCAGGGGCTTTAAGGAAAGAAGCGTCCCCCTAATATACAACTCCAGGGCGAGGCAGCAGGTGGTGACGGAGCAGCTGCGGCAGGTTGTCCCGAAGACCCAGCTGAGGCCACCGTCGCAGGAGGCTGGGCTAACAGCGCAGCACGGACAAAACAGCCTTCTACCGGAGGAAGAAGATGCCATGGAGGACTTTCGTAGCTAGAGAGGAGAAGGCAGTGCCTGGCTTCACAGCTTCAAAAAAAACAGGCTGACTCTCTTGTTAGGAGCTAAAGCAGCTGGTGACTTGAAGTTGAAGCCGGTGCTCATTTGCCATCTTGAGAATGCTGGGCTCTTAAGAATTATGTTAAGTCTACTCTCTGCCTGTGCTCTTGAAATGCAGCAACAAAGCCTGGATGACAGCACCTCTGTTTACAGCACGGTTTACTGAATATTCTAAACCCACTGCAGAGACCTACTGCTCATGGAAAAAAAAATTCCTTTCAAAATATTACTGCTCATTGACAAGGCACCTGGTCACCTAAGTACAGCTCAAATGGAGACACACAAGGAGATGAATGTTGTTTTCACGTCTGCTAACACAACACCTGTTCTGCAGCCTGTGGGTCAAGGAGTAATGTCAACTTGCAAGTCTTTTTTTTTTTTTTTTTGAGACAGAGTCTTACCGGGGCTAGAGTGCCGTGGCGTCAGCCTAGCTCACAGCAACCTCAAACTCCTGGGCTCAAGCGTTCCTCCTGCCTCAGCCTCCCGAGTAGCCTGGGACTACTACAGGCATGTGCCACCATGCCCGGCTAATTTTTTCTATATATTTTTAGTTGTCCAATTCATTTATTTCTGTTTTTAGTGGACACGGGGTCTGACTCTTGCTCAGGCTGGTCTTGAACTCCTGACCTTGAACGATCCTCCCGCCTCGGCCTCCCAGAGTGCTAGGATTACAGGCGTGAGCCATCATGCCCGGCCAACTTGCAAGTCTTATTATTCAAGAAATATATTTTGTAAGGCTATAGGTGTCACAGACAGCGATTCCTCTGATGGGTCTGGGGAAAGTAAACTGAAAACCTTCTGGAAGGGACTCACCATTCTAGATGCCATTGAGAACGTCTGTGGTTCATGGGAGGAGGTCAAAATGTCAACATTAACAGGGGTTTGGAGGAAGCTGATTCCAAGCCTCATGGGTGACCTCGAGGGCTTCATGACTTCAGTGGAGGAAGTCAAGGCAGAGGTGGTGGAAACAGCAAGAGAACTGGAGTCAGACGTGGAGCCCGAGGTGACTGGATCGCTGCAACCTCAGGGTGACACTTGAATGGATGAGGAGTTGCTTCTCACGGACGAACAAAGAAAGTGGTTTCTTGAGATGGAATCTGCTCCTGGTGAAGACGCTGTGAACACGGGTCAAAGGACCACAAAGGATTTAGAATATTCTACACACCTAGTTGGTAAAACAGCACCAGGGTTTGGGAGGATTGGCCCTCATTCTGAAAGAGGGTCTCCTGCGGGTAAAATGCCACCAGACAGCACCGCATGCTACAGAGAAATCCTTCATGAAAGGAAGAGTCCGTCAATGCAGCAAACTTCACTGTTGCCTTATTGTTATTATTATTATTTTTTAGAGACAGAGGCTCGCTGTGTTGCCCAGACTAGAGTGACATCAGCCTAGCTCACAGCAACCTCAAACTCCTGGGCTCAAACGATCCTCCTGCCTCAGCCTCCTGAGTAGCTGGGACTACAGGCATGCGCCACCACGCCCGGCTAGTTTTTTTTATATATATATTTTTAGTTGGCCAATTAATTTCTTTCTATTTTTTTAGTAGACACGGGATCTTACTCTTGCTCAGGCTGGTTTCGAACTCCTGACCTTAAGCGATCCTCCTGCCTCGGCCTCCCAGAGTGCTAGGGTTACTGGAGTGAGCCACTTCGACCGGCCACTGTTGCCTTATTTTAAGAAATTGCCGCACCCCAGCCCACCGCCCCGATCAGTCAGCACCATCAATGTCAGGCAGGACCCTCCACCAGCAGGAAGATGATGACTCACGGAAGGCTGAGATGGTTGTTAACATATTTAGCAATAAAGGATTTTCAATTAGGGTTTACACATTGTGTTTTTAGACATAATGCTAGTGTGCGCTTAATAGACTATAGTGAAGATATCAGTTTATATGCACCAGGAAACCAAAAAATTTGTGTGGCTCACTTTATCGTGATACTCACTTTATTGCAACGGTCTGGAACTAAGCTCACAGTATCCCCAAGGCGTGCCTGTGTATCTCAATAAAACCGTCCAGAAAGAAATGAAAACGGAACCTGGGTCAGAAAGGAAATCCTTCCACCGAGAGAAGCTCAGTGCTCGACGGCTTCGTGGCCGGTTCTTCCAAACATTTCAGAAGGCACGATTCTCATCAGACTCCCAAGTCTTCCAGAAAATGTAAACAGAAAAACTCACAAAGACACCGAAACTCGACAAGAAGAGCACGAGAGAAGAAAACGGCAAACACAGGTGCAAAATCCCGGGCAGGACATTACCAGATTGCATCCAGCTCGTGCAGGCCAGGCAGAGCCTGTCCTGACAGGCTGGGCTTTCCCCATGTGGATGCCAGGAAGGCAAAGCTCCATTTAAGCCAGTCGCTGCAGTCCCTCACCTTAGCAGATTAAAGGGGAAAAGTCATTCCTCCGAAGGATGCTGGGACCACCGTTGATAACGGTCAGCATCTGTTTATATTTTTCAAAGTTCTTAGCAAAGTAAGGCCGAAAGGGAACTTGTTTGCCCTGGTACAGGCTGTCTGGGTGTCACGCAAATGGTGAAATGCTGAAAGGGTTCCTCTGAAGACAGACAGCGAGACAGGACGGCTGCTCTTCCCGGGTATAAATTGGGGTGATGCTGGCTGTTTTCACAGACTGCAAACGTAACAGCTCCAACAGGATCGAGTCTGTTTCCCTCACGTAGCAATCCGAGGTCTGGCCCTGTTGGCCTGTTTTCCGGGTCTTGCGTCTGAGTCTCTGCCATCCTTTAAAAATCTATTTAAGATAGAGCCAGCGTATGACCCAGCAACCCCGCTGCTGGGCATACACCCAAGGACATGAAATCAGTGGGTCCAAGAGGGTCGGCACTCCATGTCCACCGGAGCCCCGTCCACAATAGCTATGGCATGGAATCGACCTCAGAGCCCGTCTGCAGAGAAATGGGGGATGCATATGCAGGCTGAGCGTCCCTTATCCAAAATCTTGGCACCAGAAGTGTTTTGGGTTTGGGATTTTTTCAGATTTGAGGTATTTGCAGATACTTAGCAATTGATCATCCCTACTCCAAAAATCCTAAATCTGAAACGCTCCAATGAGCACTTCCTTTAAGCATCATGTCAGTGCTCAAAACATTTCAGATTTTGTCGTAGGTTTTTGGATTTTGGATTCGGGACACTTAGCCTGTATACACAAATTGACTCTTGAATTTAGCCACAAAAGAGAAGGCAGTCCCGTCGTTTGCAACAACGTGGATGAACCTGGGGGACTGCGTTAGATGAAATAAGCCAGGCACAGAGAGACGAACGCTGCGTGGCCTCACTCCCGTGCAGAATCTGAAGGTCGAGCCCGCAGAGGCAGAGCGGGATGGCGGCGCCGCAGGCCGGCGGTGGGTCGGGGAGGTTGGAGACTTGCTGCTCAGAGGACCAAGTTCCAGGCAGACAGGAGGAATACGAGTTCGAGATTTGCTGCAGAAAAGAGTAAGCAGATGAGGTCATGGATGTTAATTGGCTTGGTTTAGCCATTCCACTGTGCACACATGTATCCAAACGTTCTGACGCCTCACCAGTATATACAGTTCTTGTCAATTACAAACTTAAAAAATCAAACTCACCGTCTTGCAGACTGTATGATGGTGGACACAGCATATCTGAAGGCCATTTAGAGATGAAGGGTGACGCATAGCAAGTCACCGAATTACGAAGTCAGCACCAGACCCGATTTTATGTATTGGCAAAACAGAAAATGAGCTTTATAAAGATGTTTCATCAGGGGGTGTTGTCCGACCTGGAATCCGGGACTGAGTCTACCCTGGGGAAGACCCCTGGGCGGGGGCACCCAAGAGGCATCGGAGAGAGATGCTAGGGGATTCCCGAGTCCACGCTCGCTGGCCGAGGGGACAATGCCGCAGACACGGCAGTTTCTCACCACCTGACCCGGAGCATGCCCGCTGAGTGCCTGAGGCTTGCTGCACCGGTTCTGCAAAGTCACAGGCGGACAGAGCCAGCACGTCCGCAGGAGCCTGCAGGAGGGAGCTCTTGATTAAGTCCCAGCACAGCGTCGGGTGCTGTGGGCCCAGGATGGAGCCCGGGAGTGAGCCACGAGCCGCAGTGACTGTGCTGTCCGGGGGCTTTGCGGGCAGCGAGTGGGGGTCTCTGGTGGGTTGTGCTGGGGCGCTCAGGTGCCCCGTGGGAAGGGCATCATCGGACCCCAGCGACATCGACGTGCAAGCTGGCACCGACTAGCCGGAGAGCTTCGAGACGGAGGCGCTTTGGGGAGATCGTTCAGGGTACGGGGATGGGGTAGATTTCTAAAACGAGACAGACGCAGGAAGAGGCAAGGTGGAACGTGGAAGTCCAATACATTTATGAACTTCAGTTCCTCCAGGCGGGCTCCCACCCCTCCTCTGTGCCCGGCCTGCGGCACACCCGGCGCCGGCAGCTGCCCCGAGCCCAGCGCCAGATGCAGCAGGCCGTGCCAGGCAGCCTGGGGCACACCAGAGCCTGGGGGCTGGCCCGCGCCGCGGGCTGATTGAGATGAACGCTGCCGTGTTTGGACAGCTCACCCACCCACGCACACAGCTCATGGCCACGCGGGAAGAACGAGCTTCCTCCGCGTGGGTCTTTTCTCTGTCCTGTGTGTGCAGACACGCTCGACGGTCTTTGCCGAGCTCGCCTGCGTGCCGCGGGCCTCTGTTCGAGCGCACCTGGGGGCAGCCTGACCTCAGGGCGCAGAGGGCTGCTGCTTTCTCACGGCCGTGTGCCGCGTCCTCTCAGTCGGCACGTCCGCGGCCTGTGCTTCTACAAAGAGGACTGGAGGGTGTCTCGGTCCACGCGGGCTGCTGTAAGACAACACTGTAGACCGGGCGGCTCGTCAACAGCGCATGCGTATTGCTCACAGCTCTGGAGGCTGGAAGTCGGGGACCGGGGCGTGGCAGGCCTGTGTCTCGTGAGGCCGCACTTCCTGGTTCATATCTTTGACGATAATCTTATCAAACATTGTGAGCTGCGCTTATCCGATGAATGAAACACGCTATATCAATGTAGCTTTTTATTTTTTTAAATAGAGAGGGGGGTCTTCCTACGTTGTCCAGCCTGGCCTCTACCTCCCGGCCTTAAGTGATCCTCCTGTCGTGGGATTATGGGCAGGCACCACAGCACCCAGCTAATCAACATGGTTTCAACGGGCTGTTCCTTGTGTGGGCTTGAGCACTGTGTCCCAGGTTTTAAGAACCAGCTGTATTTCTCCCCTCGACCTGTAGGTTTGTAGCCTTTGTTTCCTGCCATTCCTTTAGTTATTGATTTACGGGAAAGGTATGCGTCTGCACACACAGGCACGCACACGCAGAGCCGGCCCTTGCTCTGGGGTATGAACTGAGGCTCTCCCCCGGTGTGTTGGGCTTCTGACTCTGTGCTCTTTCATCTGCCACGCGGAGATCTTGGTACTTGGAAATTCTCAAATTTATTACCGTTCCAACATCTTTTGGGTTCTGAGTCACACGGAGAGCAGCTTCCCCTGTTCTGAGATTGTTTGCTGTGAGCCCCGGGCTGGCTGCGTGAGGGAGCAGGAGGCTGGGGAGGCCGGGGCCAGGGCGAGGCAGAATCCAGTGACTGCCCTCAGACCTCAAGCCCTGGCCACTCCAGGGCTGGGGACTAGCCTCCTTCCACACCCTCTGCCAGTGTAGACGGTACCACCGCTGATCCCACCTGGGCTCACACAGGGTCAGCTGCCTGTGGCTGTGTTTATGGAGCTGCCTCTGGGCCTGGGCTCCCAGGGGCCCATGGTGGGCAGAGGGCAGGGCAGCCTTGGAGCGAGTCCCCACACTGCCCAGGGCCACCTGCCCGGCTGCTCTGCTGTCTGCCTGATCCAGGGGGTGTCCTGAGAGAGGCTGGGGTGGCGTTCACCATTAAAGCAGCTCTGTTGGCCCCACAGGCTTGGGCCTAACTCTGGCCGGTGACAGACTGTGCTGGGCAGGCGAGGCTATGGGCCCAGGCGGGGACCCCGACCTCCTCTGTCCCCGTGTATAGGGTGGGAGTGGGCTGGGCTAGGTAGGGGGACCCCTGGCTTCAGCCCCCCTATGTGCAAAGCTTGGACACAGGCTGCCTGATGTCTGGGCCTCCTCTCCCCCCCCCCCCGTGCACACCCACAGCTACGTTTGCAGCCACCCAAGGCCCCCCATGCCACCCACCCCGGGTTCTCCCGGGTGCTGGGATGTACCGGCCCTGGCATGGAACTGCTCTGTCTTGGAGAATCCAGGTCCGAAGGAGGTGCAGGTGGGAGGCTGTGGTTTTTCCGGGGGACACATGTTCTGGGCACAGCTGTGACATTCCTGTCTGGGAACGGAGCTCCCAGTCTCTGCCATGTGGGCTGCCTTTGTGTGTGGGTGTAGCTCTTCTGGGCTCTGCCCCCGGCCCGCCTGGCTGGTGTCCGAGTGAGCAGCTGTCCTGGGACCTCTGGTCTCTGGCCTCGGGCTTGGAGCCTTCTGTGCCTGGACATCCATAACATGACCCTCCATGCTCCTGTCCTGGGGGAGCCCGTTCCCTCTGCTCAGTCCCATCTGAGGGTCCCAGAGCCTTTGAGATGAAGTCCTAGCTCTCAGTGGGGCTCAGGGCTCCTCTGCCCTGCCAGCCCCGTCCTGACCCCTGGAGTGACCCCGGGAGCCCTGGTGTGAACTGTCCTGCTTTCCTTCACTCCAAAACCTCTCCCCAACCTTCTCCCAGGACAGAATCCCGGCTGGGAGGACTTGCCCAGTCCTCCTGTCCTTCCCGCTGGCCTCCCTTGTGCTGTGCTAGGGGTCTGTGACTCGAGCACTTTGGGGACTTGCTGGAAGGTCCCCTGGGCCCTGCTGCAGTGTGCTCCCCTGCCGTCCTGCCTCGGTGGCCTGGCGCAAGGGTGTGTGTCCCAAACCCAGAGAACCTCTTCCCCTGGCAGAGACCCATAGCCACCTGCCTGGAGGGGGTGGGTGTGTGTGGGTCCTTCCCGGGGTCTCCGTCTATCTGTTCCCTCCGTGGCCACGCTGCTCTCTGGTGGGGCTGTGCGCGCCTGGCTCTGTGTCCCCACTGGGCCGGGGCTCACTGTCGCCTCTCTGGTGCCCAGGCTGACGGGCAGCGAGCCTCTGACCATCCTCCCGCTCACCCTGGAGCCTGAGGCAGCGGCCCAGGCGCACTACAAGGCCTGCGACCGGCTGAAGCTGGAGCGCAAGCAGCGGCGCATGTGCCGCCGGGACCCAGGCGTGGCCGAGACGCTGGTGGAGGCGGTCAGCATGAGCGCGCTGGAGTGCCAGTTCCAGTTCCGCTTCGAGCGCTGGAACTGCACCTTGGAGGGCCGCTACCGGGCCAGCCTGCTCAAGCGAGGTGAGTGCCGCCCTCCCTCACCCGCCTGCAGGGACAGGCCTCAGGCTGCGTCCCGGGGGACCTGAGGCCCCGCCCCACCCCTGCAGGCCCCGCCCACCCTTGCAGGCCCCGCCTCCTCAGGACCCCGCCCTGCCTTCTGCGCAGGCGCAGGCGCAGTGTTTGCTGTGGCACCCGGCGCATTTGCGCGGCCTTTGGCAGGGCCCCAGGCTGCCCAAGCTGCCCTGGTGGCTGTTGGCTCATGCCAGGTGGCCAAGGGCCCAGTGGCCTCTGCCCCAAGCCAAAGCCCTCTTGTCGCCCCTGCCCTTCCGCGTGAGGGCGCAGGCACTGGTGGGAGGCTTTTCGCAGCCTTGTTTAAGAGCTGGGACCTGCGGCCCAGGGCGGGGCAGGACAGGGCCTGCCAAGGGCCCCATGGCGAGGCTTGTAGGTCGGAGGCTGGAATGGGGGTCTCTGATCACCAGGCCAGAGCCGCAGCCACGGTGGGCTCCGAGTTCTCTCCCACCCCCGCCTGGTCACGTGCAAACGCCTCCTGCCCTCCGCGCGCCCAGGGCAGCCCAGACGGGTGGGCACCCACGCCCTTCCCCCGGAGCTGGACACCGGGAAGGATCCTCAGAGCTCCCGCAGGGAACGCGCGCCCGCGGGGTGGTTGGGCTGCGGTGCACGCGACACAAACGAGAGCGGCCGGGCCTCACGCGCCCGGTCCCGCTGACCGCAGGCTTCAAGGAGACCGCCTTCCTCTACGCCATCTCCTCGGCCGGCCTGACGCACGCGCTGGCCAAGGCGTGCAGCGCCGGGCGCATGGAGCGCTGCACGTGCGACGAGGCGCCGGACCTGGAGAACCGCGAGGCCTGGCAGTGGGGGGGCTGCGGGGACAACCTCAAGTACAGCAGCAAGTTCGTCAAGGAGTTCCTGGGCAGGCGGTCGAGCAAGGACCTGCGGGCGCGCGTGGACTTCCACAACAACCTCGTGGGCGTAAAGGCAAGTGGGGCCCGGCGCAGGGCAGGTGCGGGGGCTGAGCAGGGCAGGGTGGGTGCAGGCAGGAGGTCAGCTGGGTGGGAGGGGGGACGGAAGGGGCTCTGGGGGTGAGCCGAGGGCGCAGAGGCCCTGCACGCTCGCAGGCAGCAGAGTGGCCAGTGGGCAGGAGAGGCTGGAGGCCACCTCCATCCTGGCAGTGCTGTGCGGCAGGGCCCTGGGGTCCTCAGGCCCGTCACATTCCCTGCCTGCCGGACAGGCGGGGCACCAGTGGAGGAGTGCCTGTGGTCCTCCATACAGGGGTCTCCCTGGGTCCCCATGGAGGGTCCCCTTGCCCTCCCATAGACTGGGCTGAAAGGAGCCAGGTGTGTCTGGGCCCACCTGCCTCTCTTCCCGCCAGGTGCAGGCCCCCGGGAGCATCTGCCTGGTCAGGCCATCTCACCAGGAGGGTGGCAGGCCGGGCCCCACCTGCCAGGGCAGCCCAGGGCAGCATGCAGCGTCTTGTCACTAAGGACCTAGGTGGACGGCAGCCATAGTGGGCAGTGTGGTGGCCACGGGGTCCCAGGGAGGGGCTGTGGGTGTGGAACCCACTCGCCCAAGTCAGAGGAGTCCAGTTCTGTGCCAGCAGCCCTGTCTGTGGCCAGGGCTCTGTTCTGAGGGACAGAAACCCAGCTCGGAAGACTTGAGGGAGGAAGGGGTCTATCTCCCGGCTCCCTGGCAAGCCCTCCTGGGGCTGCTGGCTGCCGGCGTGGCCGGGCCAGGTGCGCCTGGCTCTCTGGCCGCCCCGTGGGCTCCCAGGTCCACACTGCTGGGAGGAGGCATCGGGTCCCATAGGCTTCACTCTGGACAGACCTCCCCCATCCCTGGCCACGCCTGAACACGCTGGCCCCAGAGCACCGCTGGGCTCAGCCAGGGCTGTGGACGGGCAGGGCTGGCGTCTTTGTCCAGAGCCGAGGAGCATTTCTTCCTCCCGCCCCGCCGCCCTCTTCATGTGGGGACGTGGAGCCCCAGCCTGGGGACGGGCAAGGTAATTAGAGCTGGCCCTGCTCTGAGCCCCTCTTTATTGAGAAGTCAGAGTCCTGAATCACCCACTTATTCAAGAATCAATTTCCCCCTTTTGGAGCAGGGCCCTTCTGGGGGTAGCCGCTGCAGGTGGATTAAATCCTGCAGGCAGCATCCTTTCTTCTCCTCGCACCCGGCTCCTCCCTGCCCACTCGGCCCTTTTGTAAGCGATTAATGAAAAGTCGGGACGTGAAAAGTGCTCCATTAGCTCTGCTGTGCCTGGGTCAGCCATGTTTTAATTAAATTGCTCCGGGTTTCTCAGCAAAGCATCATTAAATGTGACTCTTCGGTTGCCTGGCCAGAGGGTGGCTACGGCTCTTAATCCTCCTTGAGCCGACCCTCCCGGGGGTGGCAGGCGTGGGAGCTCAGCTGCCTGGCTCGGGTCCCACCTGGGGAGGGGCCTTCCCACTGGCCGTCCCTGCAGGTGGGGCCCCGAGTCCTGGGTGGGGAAGGGCCCGGCCAGGGTTTCCTGGCAGCTCCCCAGATCCGGAATGTGCTGGGCCGTGTCTGCCTCTGCCTGCTGTGGGTGAGAGGTCAGCCCTGTCTCCTCTGCAGCCGCCCCGGAAGCCCCCCTGGCGTGCGGAGCTCTCTTTGTCCTTAGAAGTGGCTCTCACCGGGGATGTGGCATCTGCGCTTCCGTGCTGCCTGCGCCTGTCCCCACCAGCAAGCCGACCCGCGTGGGTCTTCGGGGCTCGGGCAGCAGCTGCACGCGTGGCAGCACCTGGCCTGATACTCGGGGCGGGTGGGCGTGTGATCAGCTCGGATACAGACCATGGAGTGAGGTCACACGTGTCCGGCCCCGTGCAGCGAACGGCTCGCTGAGACCAGACACGGGAGAACCTGGCGGGGCGCAGGGCCCAGCCCGTGCAAAGAGCAGCCCCCGTGGGGACGGACTTTGGGTGGGAAGGGACTGTCGTAAAGGGGTGGGGACCAGTCACCCCTCAGGAGGCAGGGTGGCCTTGGTGGGGACCGAGGTGCTGGCCACAGGGCGTCTGTCCTGGGCAGTCTCTGGCTTAGAGGAGGAGGGACAGGCCTGGGGGTTGGGAGCCTGGATGGTTCCGGCCACCTCCGGCTGCAGGGGCGGCTGCGGGCTGGACCTCACGCACCCCTCCCTCCCGACTTCCCGCCTGCCAGGTGATCAAGGCCGGCGTGGAGACCACCTGCAAGTGCCACGGCGTGTCGGGCTCGTGCACGGTGCGGACCTGCTGGCGGCAGCTGGCGCCCTTCCACGAGGTGGGCAAACACCTGAAGCACAAGTATGAGACGGCGCTCAAGGTGGGCAGCACCACCAACGAGGCCACCGGCGAGGCGGGCGCCATCTCCCCGCCGCGGGGACGGGGCTCCGGGACGGGCGGCAGCGACCCGCTGCCCCGCACTCCGGAGCTCGTGCACCTGGACGACTCGCCCAGCTTCTGCCTGGCCGGCCGCTTCTCCCCGGGCACCGCCGGCCGCAGGTGCCACCGCGAGAAGAACTGTGAGAGCATCTGCTGCGGCCGCGGCCACAACACGCAGAGCCGGGTGGTGACGCGGCCCTGCCAGTGCCAGGTGCGCTGGTGCTGCTACGTGGAGTGCCGGCAGTGCACGCAGCGAGAGGAGGTCTACACCTGCAAGGGCTGAGCGGCTCCCCCAGCATGCGGGCCCGGCCGCCCTCCGACCCGAGAGCGTCGCGGCACGATGCTCTCTGAGCTGTCCCGTCCCGAGCTCGCCAGGCCCGCGTGGGGAGCGGCCCTTGGCGGGCGCACCTCCCTGACCACACGGCCTTGCGTGTGCGGGCCGCCCTGGCGCCCGGGCCTGGCCAGGGCCGCCCTGCACCGGCACTGTCTCCGGAGAGCGAAACCACTAGGAGAGGACGGAGCCCGCCCGTCCCTGGGCCCAGCCGCCCTCGTGCCGGGCTCAGGGCACGGCGCCCTTCCTTCTCTGACGCCAAGCACTTCTCTTTGGAGTGAATATCAGCGACTTTTAAGTTATTCTTATTATTATTTAACTAATATAATAATAATTATTTCCTCCGTCCCTGCTGCCCCCGGCCCGCGGCTTCCTCCCCAGCCGCCGCGCTCAGCCCCGGCCCGGTCTGGGAGGGCCCCTCCTTCCGTCCCACACCTTCCCTCCTGACTCTGCTTGCCTCTGATCTGCTTTGTCGTTTGAAACCACTAAATCAAGATAGACGTGTTGTTGTTGTTAGAGAAATAAAGTGCGCGGTGTCTGGCCGCAGCCCTCGGGGCCCTGGAAGCCGCTCCCCGTGCCCGGCCGCCCGCCCAGCGGCCCACGCGGCGGCCCCTGCCCCGTGCCGTGCGCACTCGGCTCGCGTCCGGGTGTCCCGGTGCAGGTCGTCGGGCCGGGGGTGGCCAAGGGGGCTGCTCTGTTGAGGGTGCAGGGCGGGTCCATGTGGCCAGGAAGCCACGCTTGCTCTGAGTCGCCGGGGAGAGGCAAGGCGGGGCCAGGCGCAGGTGGGGAGAGAGTCTTGGGCTCGGCTTTGGCAGGGGAACGCCGTTCTTTTGGGCCTTGCTGTTGTCCTTGCATGGGAGAGGGTGGCCTTCGCGGGCCTGGTGTGTTTTGGTGTGCGTGTGTGTGTGTGTCCTGTGAGCGTGTGCGTGCATGCCGCGCTGGCCTGGTGGGGGGCCGCGCCCTCTCTCGGAGCACTGCTGGGCCAGGCCGTGGGCGGCGGGAGGGGCGGGTCTGGTCCCCGGGCCTGCAGCCCGACCGGGTGTCCGGGTGGGGCCTGGGGTGCGGCGGGTGCGGATGCGGGAACTACTGAGCGAGCAGGTTCCTCAGAGCCCGGGTCTCCAGGAGGCCGGGCACGTGCTTTTCACGGAAAGCCTGTTGCAGCGGACGCGGGTCCCTGCTGCACTGAGGACATGCCGAGTCCGCTCTCCTGTGGCCTCCCGGCTGCAGCGTCCCGGAAAGGAATGTAGGTGGCTGTAGGCGGTGGCCGTCGGCGGGACGGGCGGTGGGCTTGTCCTCCAGTCTGACGCACGTCCGGGCAGGCGGCAGGGCGGCCACCCCTGTCCTCCCCAGCGTCCCTCACGACAAGCCTGTGGCTCGGTCCCTGTCGGGTCTGTGGAAAGCTGCCGAGTCAGAGGAAGGATATTTTTTTATCGGATACCACATTTAGCTCTATGTCATAAATATTCAGAGAAGTATTTTTGTAAACAAGGCAGACCGAAAACGCCTGCCGGCTGGCCGTCCCCTGTGCAGCCGCGCGGGGCGTCCTGCCTGGTGAGGAGGCGGCTCCGGCCGCCGTGGCCTCCCGCCCCGGCCTCCCGCCCCGGCCTCCGCCCCGTGGGCTTCTCTCCTGCGGCGGGCTGGAAGGAGCTGGACGGGGGCACGGCCCGCGACGCCCCTCCTCGGCCATGTGTGCCCGGGCCTGCGGGGGCGGGGCGGGCGGGAGGAGGGCCCGTCCTTGCAAGCGTTTGGAGTCTCGAGCGAGCCGACTGATTTCTCTACCTCATCTGTGTAGCGCGTAGGTGTGCCCGAGTGACTGTGGAGAGCGTATTTATTTAACAGCTTTGTATAACAGAACCGAAACAAATGGGACACTAAATAAATGTATTTTAAATTATAGCCCCATCTCCGTCTGCTGCCTTCACAGGGGGCTGTGGGCCTGGGAGGAGGAGGATGGAGAGGAGGGCTGGGAGGAGGAGG